CCATAACCAGGAACATGCAGATACTGCAGGTACAGCTCAAAATAACTCAACGTTTTTCAGTTGTCGAAAAATAAAAAAGGTAACACGCTTTGAGTGCGGAAACTTATCTCCTTGTCATGTTCTTGAGCCGAAAACCTGGGAAAACCCAACAGTAATAAAACTATATTATTCTCATTTTCTGAACCTAAATAACTAAAACATTTGCTCTAAAATTGTTTCTTGAGAAGCCGCAGCATACAAGAATTTTTTTCGGAGGGTCTTTAGGCTCGCGAGAGTTTTGTATGGCTAAGAGATCTTGCGTGCTTTGTTTAGCGCGCTCGTCGCGCACGCTATTATTGGGAAAAAAACTGTAGTGAGCCACCTTAAATGAATCGGCGGACTACGTGCCACCAGTAGCAATGGGCTATACAAAACGCAACTGTTATTGCGAAGAAAGTCGACGGTAAGCTCTTTACATTTTTTGGAATTAAGCTTCATGTTGTTACTACATGCAAACGCCCGAATGTCCGAGACTATATGGCAGATATAAGAGGGAGAGTTCCTTGGTACAATTTCCATGGTTGTTAGATTATCTGCAAACTTTATCCGTGGACCCCAAATTGGAACGAGATCGTTTACCATGACCGCGAAGAGGATAGGGCCCAATCTCATTCCCTGTGGGATGCCGCCGTCAAGATACTCAGATGCAGACGCAGATGACTCCAAGCCGACAAACTGAGATCTGCCCTGTAAGGAACCAGCAACGCATCTAATCAAGCAGCAATGTAGGTTGAATTTGAATAATTTCTGGAAGAGAATTTTGTGGTCGATCAAATCAAATGACTTACAGAAATCAGCAAAAAAGAACGGCAGAGAACAGTTTCCCTTATCCAAGGCTCCGAAGGTTACGTGCAGAATATACACCAGAGCCTGTTCAGTTGATTTTTCAGCCATTGCAAACCGTTTACTATCCATGTGGTCAAGAAAGGAGGGAAGAATTCTGGATAGCGCCAACTCCTCCATGACTTCGGCTGTCTGACACGTCAACGAAATAGAATAGGTCTTAAGTCGTTCTCTTTAGCGGTTGGTGGCTTCTGTCTTAGGGGGAGGAATAATGACTGCTTTTTACAGTAACGGGGGAAGGTAGCCTTCGCCAAGAGAAGCGTTATAGAGATAAGTGATGACCAGGGCCAGCTCAAATGCAAACTCATTTGGACCTGCATGCTAACGTCACTGTAAAGCCATTTTAAAACAAGATACAAATGGCACTTTTTCTATGTTTTTACACTTCCGCGTTGCGCCTCTTGCGTTTTCGAAACTTCCTTTAAGAAGTCAGCAGTGCTGTCTTGTTCTTCTCCAGACAGCTTAATGCGGACAGCTAATGCACGCTGGTGAGATTGAAGAGCTGCTTTGTAGTCATGCATGTTTCGCTGTGTTATACCGAGCTGCAAGTAGCTGTCAGCAGTGCTTTCGTGTCCTTCTCCAAAAAGTTTAATGCTGATAGCTAACGCACGCTGGTGAAACTGAAGAGCTGCTTTGTAGTCTTGCATGTTACACTTTGTTACACCAAGCTGTAAGTAGCTGTCAGCAGTGCTTTCATGTTCTTCTCCAAAGAGTTTAACTCGGATATCTAAAGCACACTGGTGAGAATGAAGAGCTGCCTTGTAATTGTGCATGTTAAATTGTGTTACGCCGATTTCCCTGTAGCTGTCAGCAGTGCTTTCATGTTCTTCCCCAAACAGTTTTAAACAGAGATCTAATGCACGCTGGTGATATTGAAGAGCTGCCTTGTAGTCACTCGTTTTGCGCTGTGTTATGCCGAGTCCCAAGTAGCTTTTAACAGTGTATTCATGTTCTCCCCCCCACACTCTAAAACAGGCATCTAACGCACATTGGTGAGACTGAAGAGCTGCTTTGTAGTCACGCATGTCGCGCTGTGTTATACCGAGCGTCAAGTAGCTATAAACAGTGCTTTCATATTCATCTCCAAACAGCTTAAGATAGATAGCCAATGCCCGCTGATGAGATTGAAGAGCTTCCTTGCTGTTGTACACGTCGCGTTGTGTTACACCTAGCTGAAAGTAACATTGAGCAGTGTTTTCATGTTCTTCTCCAAACAGTTTAAGACAGATAGCCAATGCCCGTTGATGGGATTCAAGAGCTGCCTTGTAGTCATTCATGTTGCGGTGTGTTGCACCTAAGTGCAAATAGCTGCCAACAGTGTTTTCATGTTCTTCTCCAAAAAGGTTAACACTGATGGCTAAAGCCCGCTGGAGAGAAGAAAGAGCTGCCTTGAAGTCATTCATTTTGTGCTGTGTTGAACCGAGCAGCAAGTAGCTGGAAGCAGTGCTTTCATGTTCTTCTCCAAAAAGGTTAACACGGATGGCTAAAGCCCGCTGGAGAGAAGAAAGAGCTGCCTTGTTATCACGCACGTAGAGTTGTGTTACACCGAGTTCCCAGTAGCTGTCAGCAGTGTGTTCATGCTCTTCTCCAAATAGATGAATACGGATAGCCAGTGCACGCTGAGCAGATTGAAGAGCTGAGGTGTGGTCACCCACTTTAGACTTGGCCCTAGCCAATTGCCTGCAGCTGTCAGCAGTACTTTCATGCTTTTCTCCAAAAAGTTTAACGCGGATAGCTAAAGCACGGTGATGAGAATGAAGGGCTTCCTTGTAATGACGCACGTTGACTTGTATGACACCGAGTTCCCAGTAGCTGTCAGCAGTGCGTTCATGTTCTTCTCCAAATAGATGAATACGGATAGCCAATACACGCTGAGTAGATTGCAGAGCTGAGGTGTAGTCACCCATGTGAGCCTGGGTAGCAGCCAGATGCCTGCAGCTGACAGCAATACTTTCATGCTTTTCTCCAAATAGTTTAACGCGGATAGCTAAAGCACGCTGATGAGAATGAAGGGCTGTTTTGTAGTCATGTAGGTTGTGTTGTATTTCACCGACAATGAAGTAGCTTTCAGCAGTGGCTGCATTCTCCTCTCCAAAAAGTTTAACACGGATGGCTAAAGCCCGCTGGGCAAAATGAAGAGCTGCCTTGAAGTCACGCATGTGGCATTGTGCTCTACAGACTTCAATGTAGGTATTAGCAGTGCTCTCATTTTCCTCTCCAAATAGTTTAAGACGGATGTCTAATGCACGCCGGAAAAATTGAAGAGATGCCTTGTAGTCATGCAAATTGTGTTGTATTACCCCGAGTCTGAAGTAGGCGTCAGCAGTGCTTTCATGTTCTTCTCCAAAGTGTTTAAGAAGGATATCTAAGGCATGCTGAAAGGATTGAAGAGCTGCCTCGTAATTTTTCATGATGAATTGTGTACTCGCCACGAGCCTGTAGCCGACAGCGCTGCTTTCATGTTCTTCTCCAAAAAGTTTAATACTAATAGCCAATGCACGCCGATGAGACTGGAGAGCTGAGCTGTAGTCGTTTAGTTCGTGTTGTGTTAAAGCGAGTAGGTTGTATCTGTCAACATTGCTTTTGTGTTCCTCTCCAAAAAGTTTTATACTGATAGCCAACCCACGCTGGTGAGATTGAAGAGCTGAAGTATAGTCTTGCATATAGTGTTGGATTCCGCCGACTTGAATGTAGCTTTCGGCAGTTCTTTCATGTTCTTCTCCAAACACATTAATACAGATAGCCAATGCACGCTGAGAAGATTGAAGGGCTAAGCTATAGTCGTGCATTTTTCTTTGTGTTACACCGAGTTGTCTGCAGCTTTCAGCAGTAAGTTCATGTTGTTCTCCAAACAGTTTGATAAATATAGCTAACGCGTGCTGGTGAGACTGAAGAGACGAGGCGTAGTCATCCATGTTGCATTGTAGTACACCAAGCTGCAAGTAGATTTGAGCAACCTTTACATGTGTTTCTCCAAATAGTTTTCTACTTATAGCCAATGCAAGTCGACTCGATTGGAGAGCTGAGGTGTTATCACCCATGCTGTGTTGTGTTAAACTGAGATGAGCATAGCAGTGAAAAGTGCTTACATGTTCTTCTCCAAACGTTTCGAGGCTGATAGCCAGTGCATGCTCCTGAGATTGCAGAGCTGAATTGTAGTCATGGATATTGCATTGGGTTTTACCAAGGAGCAAGTAGCTGTTAGCAGTGCTTTCACTTTTTTCTCCAAACTGTTTAATACTGACACCTAGCATATGCTGGTAACTTTGAAGAGCTGAGGCGTAGTCATGCAAATCGTTTTGTGTTAAACCTAGCCCTTCGTAGCAGCGGGCAGTGTTTTTATGTGCTTCTCCAAAAAGTTTGAGGTTGATAGCCAATGCACGATGGTGAGATTGAAGAGCGGAAATGAAGTCATTTAATTTGCGTTGAGTATGACCGAGTTGCAAGTAGCTCTCAGCAGTGCTTTCATGTTCTTCTCCGAACAGTTTAATACAGATTGCCTGTAGACGCTGAAAAGTTTTAAGAGCTGAGGGGTAGTCAGATATTTCGCTTTGTGTTACACCGAGTTCAAGGTAACTTCTGGCAGTGCTTACATGTTCTTCTCCAAAAAGTTTAAGGCTGATAGCCAATGCACGCTGGTGAGATTGAAGAGCGGAATTGTAGTCATTCATTTCGCGCTGGGTTACACCGAGGTCTCTGTAGCTTGCAGCAGTGCTTTCATCTTCTTCTCCAAACAGTTCAATAAAGATAGCCAATGCACGCTGATGAGATTGCAGAGCGGAATTGTAATCATTCATATTGCGCTGTGCTACACCGAGTTTCGTGTAGCTGTCAGCAGTCCTTTCATCTTCTTCTCCAAACAGGTTAACACGGATAGCCAGTGCCTGTTGCTGAGATTGAATACCCGAAGTGTAATCTTCCATGCCGTTTTGTGTTACACCGAGCTGAAAATAGCTGTTGCCAGCGCTTTCATGTTCTTCTGCAAACAGTTTAATACTGATAGCCAATGCACGCTGGTGGGATTGAAGAGCGGATTTTAGGTCATTGCTGTTGCGCTGTGTCATACCTAGGTCCCTGTAGCTGTCAGCAATGCTTTCATGTTCCTCTCCAAACAGTTGAATACGGATAGCCAGGGCACGCTGAAAAGATTGGAGAGCTGAGATGTAGTCCAGCATGCTGTTTTGTGTCACACCGAGTTCACTGTAGCTGTCGGCAGTACATTCATGCACTTCGCCAAACAAATTAATACAGATAGCCAATGCACGTTGATGAGATTGAAGAGCTGAGGTATAGTCGCGCATCCTGGTTTGTACTGCACCGACCTGCCTGTAACTGTCAGCAGTACTTTCATGTTCTTCTCCAAACAGTTTAATACGGATAGCCAATGCACGTTGATGAGATTGAAGAGCTGAGGTATAGTCGTGCATGGTGTGTTGTGCTACACCGACCTGCCTGTAGCTGTCAGCAGTGCTTTCATGTTCTTCTCCACACAGTTTAATACGGATAGCCAATGCACGTTGATGAGATTGAAGAGCTGAGGTATAGTCGTGCATGGTGTGTTGTGCTACACCGACCTGCCTGTAGCTGTCAGCAGTGCTTTCATGTTCTTCTCCACACAGTTTAATACGGATAGCCAATGCACGTTGTTGAGATTGAAGAGCTGAGGTATAGTCGTGCATGCTGTGTTGTGCTATACCGACCTGCTTGTAGCTGTCAGCAGTGCTTTCATGTTCTTCTCCACACAGTTTAATACGGATAGCCAATGCACGTTGATGAGATTGAAGAGCTGAGGTATAGTCGTGCATGCTGTGTTGTGCTATACCGACCTGCCTGTAGCTGTCAGCAGTACGTTCATGTACATCTCCAAACAGTGTAATACGGATAGCCAATGCACGCTGAAGAGATTGAAGAGCTGACGAAAAATCGTGCATGCTGTGTTGTGTTGTACCGATTTCCTCGTAGATATCAGCAGCACTTTCGTCTTCTCCTCCTTGCAGTTTGATACGGATTGCTAATGCACGCTGAAAAGACTGAAGGGCTGCTTTGTACTCACGCATGAAGTATTGTGTTGCACCAAGTAGCAAGTAGCTGTCAGCAGTAAGTTCATGTTTGTCTCCAAAGAGCTCTTTTGTCATTTGAAGCCCTTTCTGGAATTCCTGAAGAGCTTCCAGATAACTCTTTCTTTGTACGTAAGCTACACCCAGGTCTAAGAAACACTTTGCAAGTGCTTCATTTTGCATTTGAGTAACACACTGAAAATCTTCATTCTTGCTGGATGTTTCCTTCGTTTGTGTGATTGCTGCTTGATGGTAATTAATTCTCATCGCATACAATTTAACAGGGTCTTCACTACTTAAATCCCACAGTAAGTTTGTTACAACTCTATGAAAAGTGAGCAGACCGAGCGAAATTTGATCCTGTCTTTCGACATTCTCTACCATTTGGAGAAGCGAACTGTTTATGTATTGCTTCGTGTTACTATCAGCAAAAGTCTTTGTTGCTTTACATAATAGAAAGGCAATTTGACATTTTAGTGGTTCATTTCGCAAGATTCTAGAAGGTTCTTCATGGGTAAATTCCTTTGTTTCGCTTTTCATTGACGGGATAATAAGTAGCTGCCGGTCCTCCACTAATGTACATTGGTATTGCGCCTTGTAATAGAAATAATTTGCACTGGAGAAGTCGTTTAGCGAATGATAATAAACGGCAAGTATCTCAAAAATAACAAGCTTCAAAATTATTTGCTCCGGTTCGTTGAAACTGACCAGATATGACATAGCATCCTTCAAGCATTGGACTGCAGTGCTAATTTCTGCTGCAGCAAAGTGATAGATTCCCAGATAAGACAAGTATTTTCCTTTTTCATGGTCGGAAACAAAGGAAGACACAACTTGAATTTTATTCACTTTAGACAAAAACTGTTTTGTGCGTCCGGTTGGTCCCCAGGTGACCTCAGCAAGAGCTCTCGAAGTTAGTAACTGTCGCAGGTATTTATCCTTCCCCTGCAGTGTGGCTGCTTGTATGGCTGCTTCGTATATGTAATCAATGGTCTTTCCTTCTTTCCAAAAAAGCGAGTCAAGAAACAAATCTCCTTTCACTAATATGTCAAAAGTAGTGTCAGCTGTCTCCGAATCAGAACAGCTCCTTGTTAAGCTTTGGATGATGCTCTTCTTATCTTCGTAGAATGCAAGATATGCTGCCATTGAATGTCCGGTGAGAAACTGTTTGTTAAGCTGCTCAAAATGTGAAACGTAAAACGTGTTTAAACGTCTGTTTGAGTTAATGAAGGTCTCTTTCATTTTGTTTTCCCCCTTTTCTCTCGCAAATGATTGTAGAAGCTTGTGCATTGTGAATGACCCCGGTTTAGAGCTTGAATCAATCAACGACCTCCTGCGAAGGCTTTGTAATATCTTCTTGGCTTTGATAATACTCGTCGCACCTAAAACAGCTACAGCGATCTCAGTACTGAAATTCTCGGGAAGAATACTCAAAGATATCAATGCTTCTTGATCCTGTGCAGTTAGTCTCTGAAAAGAGGAGTCGAACAAGAATTGTAATCGGTGAGTAGTTGGGTAATCTGGATTGTCCAGCATTTCAACGACGCTTGCTTGAGAGGAAGTCATGAGGTCATTTAGAAAATGGTGTGATTGAGAGCTATCTTCTTCAGATAATAAAGAACACATTATTTTTATAGCTAACGGAACTTGTCCGCATAGTTGCGTGATTTGTGTACAGCTTTTAGCACTCATATCCGGAAGCAACTTAGAAACTAAGGTTTGAGCGAAGGCTTCTTCCAGTGGCTTTATTCTTAAGCCCTTATGGCCTTGAAAATGCAGATCCATAAACTCAAGAGACTCCCGAGTAGTTACGATGAATTTAACCGTTTGAGTTTGCCTGCAAATTTCTTCGAGAAGTTGTAGGACCTCGTCTTTCACTTTTGGGCAACTACTTTCTAGCAAATCATCGGCGTTGTCAAGGATAAATACCGAGGGCTTTAAAAGTTTGCTGAATAGTTGGCAAAGCTCATCATCTATGGATAGATGCTGAACGGATGGTTGGTTATTTATAGTGGGTTGCCTAAGAAAGCTAAGGAACTTTGAAGTCAGGTCCGCTTTAGAATACAGTCCTCGTAAAGACACCCAATACAAAGGCAGTCCTTGAGACTGGAGCGCGTGACCTGCTGCAATTGCAACCGACGTTTTCCCGAATCCAGGTGAACCCCAGACATACACCAGTCGGATAGACTCTGAAAGCACATGTTTGATGATTTCCTCACACTCGCTTTGGCGTCCAGCAAAATCAGGAACCATTGGAGGAAGGGCAGCTTGTAAGAGCAATGGCCCCAAACCTATCATGTAAAACAAAATCGGAAGTAAAAGAAATCGGTAATTATAAAAGTCGAAGAGGATGCTCGCTTAGCTGTTATGCAATTCAGGGAATCATGGGTTTTTACAAGGAAAAAAAAAAACAGAAAAGCAGTTTTATGTCTAGAAATTATGATTTAAAGGAACAGTATCCCGTTACTGCGCATGCACCAAACTTTGATTTTTTGACACGATATCGCGAAACCAAAAGATGCGAGGAGAGTAAGAGAACCTTAAAAAATCCGGTTGCATCACGCTTGGCCAAGGTCGATACTGCACTAAAACGTCTCAGGATTACAGATCAATGATATATTGTTCCCCTTGAGTTTCGATTTGGGCGAAATCGGGATTTTTTGGCGTTACTTTTATTGCCGTTGGCCGGAGGACCAAAAGATGGGAAGCGCTTTGATGCCGATTGAAGGCTTATTTCTTCTGCCAGCTCCCATACAAGCTAAGAAATTGTGAAAGGAATACGCAGAAATGAAACAGCAGCAATAGAGACTGTAAAAAAAGAAACTATTGAGACATGGATGCCCAGCGGGAGGGAGGGGGGGGGGGGGAGCGGGGGGGGGGGGGGGGGGGGGGGGTACTCGGGATTTCAAGTGACGGGGATGATCGAATGGAGCCAAAAGTCAAGACCCAAAAAATCCCTAGGGCTTCCAGCAAAACCCATAAAAATCCCTGGGCCAAAAATTAACCCCCAAAAAATCCCATGCCGATTTCTGCAGACTATTGTATAACACGTGCGATGTAAGGCGACACCATAGTTAATTACTAAACAAGAGCAAAACGCGTTTGTTTGTACTTTATTCGCAGAACTACGCAGCCAGGGCACAACCGATTCTTTTTAATACCCCCAGAAAATCCCTACCCAAATCCTGAGCTACCTAAGCCAAATTTTCGTACCCAAAAAAATCCCGGAATCGAAAATTTCAAACCCCAAAAAAACCTTCGATCATCCCCGTCACTTGAAATCCCGAGTACCCCCCTGGGCATGGATGTCACTGAGGAGATCTTGTGGAATCAAGTTTCGTGAAGCAGAATGTTTTGCAAGACGCGTTTGTAAACTTTTAAATTAACCTCCCTACGGCCGTAAAAATCAAACAAACAGGCGCTACATGTTTAGAAAAACTAGTGCAATGGAATCATAATGTAATTTTTGACTAACCTTTGCGATAATTCATGGCGTTGAGATTGCATTTTTATTTGTATCTTTCAAAAGTTTGAGGCTAGAAAGCGAGCAAATCGGGCAAATATTAAGGGCCTTAGAACAATTGACCTCTGACACTAGTTTCACATTAGAAAAGCTGTTTTTAGAGCGAACGGAACGAGATTTTCGAGTCGCGAGGAGGCCCTGTTAGCGAAAAAATCGCGATGAGTCTTCGTGCGGCGAGCCAAATTTTAAATAAGACGAAAACTTTTTCTAAAATATTACTTGAGAATGTAAACAACAAATCTCCGTCGGCGGTGAGGTCCGGAAGGAAATCTTGTCGAGTCAATATGACAGTTCTATTGTCTTCTGAAGAAAAAACAGATGACGCTCGCGCGTGCGCACAATCGGGACACTGTTCCTTTAAAAGTCATCCTGCATTATTATATATTGATTATGGTCGTAAATAAGTGTTATGGCAAACATTTAGACTCTCGCCAATGCATAATCAGTCATATGTTGTTTGTTTAACACCTAATTGACTGTTTAGAATGACTGCCAAGAAGACTTTATGATACTGAAAGCATTCCCGAGAATCGAGTCTTCAGTTAAAAAGAAAAAAAAACAAAACAAACCAAAACAAAATAAAACTTCCCCTGTATGATTTCTTGCGAAGTCGTCAGAAATTTACTCAGATGATTATAGAGATTCTAGACCTTTGGTCCAGGATTACGTTACATTCCTCGATATACGACCCAGCGCGAATGGTTTATTAAACAATCAGTAGACATTACAGACCGTCCAACGACCCCGATCTCGTCGGGATTCTCCCGATAGTTCCGGGTATTCGTGACTACAGTCATCAAAGTCGAGGTTGTTATTAAATCCCCCCCATATTTTGTTTTAAGTTCTTGTTTTCCGTGATAATAAAAACATTATTGAACGGACTAAACTTTCATTTCCTGGTTGTAGTGTCAATGATAATAATGACGTCTTTATTTTGGTTAGTTTCATAACTATTGTTATTCTTTTCTTAGTTATCGCCTTCTCCCAAATTAACTTATGCCAAACCTGTAGCATGCAAGAAAGCCGGTAAAAACAAATTCGTCTTGTAGAGCGCTCGCAACCTACAAACTTCAAACATCATTTGCAGCGTTGGTGCAATCAGATGATCATGTGGTGAAAAAAATTGACATTAGGAAAATATATCAGCTATAAAATGATTTTTTTCCACCCCCTTTTTTTGTCTGTTTCGCACTTTTTGCTTTTAAACTTGGCTCGACGGCAATGTTATGCTTACGCAATTGGTTTATTTACTAGACCGGAAATAAAAAGCTGACCGGATGTTAAATTTTGTGCTCACGCACAGTGCGTTTTGCCGCAGTGTTGCTGCAACCAGGGTTCTTTCTCGAAGCAAGAGAAGGAACCCTGGGAACGAGGTTGACCAGCTAGCTGGGACACGTAACAAGAAGATATGTTCTAAGTAGGTTCACCGCAAGTATTATACGTTGAGAAGACGTTACGCAGTTTAAAACTCCAAAGAGTAATTCTTAAAGGAAAGTGTGCTGTTTCTGAACGAGGAATATACCGGGAAAAATGAAACAAAAATGCATATCTTGCCCCTTAAGCATAAACAACTGAAGCCAGCCGCTAATTAAAGGTTTCGTCTTTTGTCTTTGGTTTTTACGGTATGTCAGTATTCGTTACTTCAAATAAATTTACCGTTAGAAAATCTCATAATCTTTAATCTTGAAGCAATATTTCTTAACAACAATAAGGTAATCCGTTCTAAATAAAAACTCGTTCGAAAATCACATTTTTAATAGAACTGTAAATAACTTCGAAATCCTACGACAGATTTTTTTTCTGACTTCAGCAAATAAGCCTCAGAGCCCTCTAGTTCTCGATATCTGCAAGTTTGAGGTCAATCGTGACCATACAACTCGCTGCAGAAAATGCTGGTCAAATTTAACCTTAGAATGCTACGCTAACGCATTTGTGAAAGTTGACGCACAAATAGAGGAAGAGTGCCGACGGACTATCTCATATCTGAAAGGTTATTCTTACCCAAAGCAACGAAAATTCAGAAATCTATCGCGAATACAGTTAGCACTACAAGAAGAACAACTTTATGCTGAATGCGGATTGAGATTAAAGAACTTCTATTTATCAAAGTTATTGTGTATTTGCCCTTTTGTTTTCCAAAAAAATCTCAAAAAAGCTTCTTTCCCTTTCTTCCTACTTCTGAACCTTAACCTCTGCTTCGCAAGGCTCTTTGATTCACGTATTTCTAGTTTATTTTCATGCTCAGCTGTTTTAAAACTTTGTCTCTCATTCGTGCTTTTTTGGAATTAAATATATATATGGACATTTGACCTGTTCTTTCCTTGATTGCAAGAACATTCAGGTCTCTTCAGTCTGAGAAATATTATCTTATTTCCTTTGGACGAGTATGAATGCGAGGCTAATGCGTGTTTTTAACCTCTCACCAAGATGACAAACAAACATGAGAAAACTGCGGCCGAGTTTCCGGGAATTTAAGGAATATGTTTAGCGTTGTAAAGTTCTGGAGAACTTACTGGCTTGAAAGATCACTATTTCAAACAACAAAATGATGATCTGCGCCTCATTACTCAGAAAAACATCGAGCCTAAACAAGAGTGCTTGGTGAGCGAGTTAATAATTTAATAAAAATGCCAGGATTGTGTGAAAATCCCTGAAGTCGTTTTAGACATTTTAATATGACTTTTCATTAACTTTAGTCTTTTTGAAGGATAACTTCTATATATTGAAATGGACTTACTCATCCAAAGCCTGCGATAAGATTAAAACGTCTACTTTGCAGTTGACATTTTCTAACGGAGTGGACGTAGCCTGAGATCAGGCCCAATTTTAGCGGTTCTCATACATTCTTTTTAACGGCTACCCCTAAAAGTTGGAGAAAAAACCTGAGATCAGGCTCAATTTTCGTTTCACCTTGCCCGCCGGAATGTTTTTTTACAAAGCGAGACGAAAATTGAGCCTGATCTCAGGTTAAGCGGATGTAGTTGAGTTTTGTCACGAAACTAATGGCCATGCTGTCGGTGCCAACTCGATAGCCGCTT